ATTACACAACCATTCACATTGCTGTGTAACCATTTCCAGAACCTCTTCATTTCCCATAGTAAGTCTGTAACTACTAAACAATTACTCTCCATTACACTTTCCCCGAGTCCTTAGTAATCACTGTTCTACTTTCTATCTCTATGAATTTGATTATTTTAGAAAACTCATGAGTGGAATCACACAATATTTGTCCTTTTGTGTCTGGCTTATTTCACTTATCATAGTATCTTCAAGATTCATCCATGCTGCAACATGTATCAGAATTTTCTTCCTTCTTAAGGCTGAATAATAGTCCATTGCATGTATATATTACATTTTGTTTATCTATTTATCCATTGATGGACATTTAGGTTGTTTTTGCTTACCCAGTTTCTTTTATGATTACATTTTTATTGATTTTGTTTATTTTATATTGATTTATTCTACCCACATTTCATAAAATTTACCCCTTTAAAAGTGTACATTTTAGTGATAGTATATTCACAGTACTATGCAACTGTCACCACCATATAATTCCAAAATATTTTCAGTACCCTAAATAGAAACCCCCTGCCCATTAGCAATCACTACCAATTTCTCCTTCTCCCTCAGCTCCTGGTAACCACTAATCTTTTTTCTGTCTCTGTAGATTTACCTATTTTGGATGCTTCATATAAATGGAATCTCACAATATGTGGCTTTTTGTTTCTGGCTTCTTTTACTTAGCATAATACTTTGAAGGTTCATCTCTATGTAGTATTATCAGTACTTCCTCTTTATGACTGAATGATGCTTTATGACTGAGTGTTAATATAACATTTTGTTTATTAGTTCATTAGTTGATGGACATTTGGGTTATTTTCACTTTTTTGCTATTATTTATAATGCTGCTATGAACATTCTTGTATACGTTTTTGTTTGACGTTCTTTTGAGTATATACCAAGGAGTGGAATGGCTTGGTTATATGTTTAATTTATTAAGGAACTGCCAAACTGTTTTCCACAGTGTCTGCACTATATAAAATTTTATATTCCCACCAGCAATGTGTGAGGGTTCTAATAGCTCCACATCTTTTACATTTTTAAAAATTATAGCCATGAAAAGAACAATGTACTAATGCATGCTACAACCTGGATAGACTTTGGAAACATTATGGCGGGTGAAAAAAAACAGAAAAGACCACCTATTGTGTGATTTCACTTATAGAAAATGTCCAGAATATATAGGCAAATGCTTAGAGACAGAAAGTAGAGTTGTGGTTTTCAGGGACTGAGAGAAGAGGAAAATGGGGAGTGTCTGTTTTGGGGGGAAATTGATGAAAATGTTCTGGAATTAGTGGTGATGGTTGCAAAACTTTGTGTATATACTACAAAACATTGAATTGAACACTTTAAAATGATGAATTTTATATGTGAATTTTAGAAGTACACAGTGAGTCTGGAGGTGAGAATTAATCTTTATAGAGGAAAAAACAACAACAACAAACTTAATTTAAAAATGGGCAAGGACCTGAATGGACTTTTTTTTCCCAAAGAAGGCATTAAAATGGCCAAATATATTCATGAAAATGTGTTCAGCATCATTAATGATCAGGCAAATGCAAATCAATACCACATGAGATACTACTTTTTATACCTGTTAGGATAACTGTTACAAAAAATACAAGAACATGGAGGACATCATACTAAGTGAAAAAAAGCCAAATACCACATGATCTCACTCACATGTAGAAAATGAATATTTTATTTGCAGAGTATAACAATAGTTGCCAGAATCTGGGGAGGGGAGGGGTTGGAGAGAATGGGGAGAGGCTGGTCAATGGGAACAAAGTTACAATTAGATAGGAGAAATAAATCCTGGTGTTCTATCACTCAGTAGGGTGACTATGGTTAAGAGTACAATATTGAATATTACAAAATAATTAGAAGATAGGCTTTTGAACGTTCTCACCACAAAGAAATGATAAGTACATGAAGCAATTAATACACCAGCAAAGCTGGGAATACAAGTTAGCTGTATGGATCATTATACAAAATAGATATGTATCAGGACATCAAATTGTACCCCATAAATACATACAATTATAATGTGTCAACTAAAAAATATATTTTTTAAAAAGACAAGAGTTAAGGGATGGAAAAGGTGTGGCAAAAAGGAAACCACGGTACACTGTTGTTAGTAATGGAAAATGGTATAGCCATTATGGAAAACAATATGAAGATTTCTCAAAAAATTAAAAATAGAACTACTAAATGATCTAGCAATCTTACTTCTGGGTATATATCCAAAGGAATTGAACTCAGTATGTTGAAGAGATATCTGCACTCCTGCGTTCATTGCAGCATTATTCACAGTAGCCGAACTATGGAAATAACCTAAGTGTTCATTGATGAATGAATGAATAAAAGAATTGTGGTACATAATGGATTATATATTCAGCCATAAAAAGAAGGAAATTTTGCCATTTACAACAATGTGGATTAACCTGAAGGACATATTGCTAAGTGAAATAAGTCAGACAGAAAGATAAATACTGCATTATCTCACTCGTACATGGAATCTAAAAAAGTTGAACTCATAGAAACAAGAGAGTATAAAGGTGATTGTCAGGGACTGGGGGTGGGAGAAATGTTGGTCAAAGGATACAAATTTTCAGTTATAAGATGTATAAGTTCTCAGGATCTATTGTATAGTACAATAACTTTCTGATAATACTGTATTTGAAATCTGCTAAGAGAGTAGATCTTATGTATTCTCACTGCAAAATAATAGAAACTGTGAGGTGAAGGATGTGTTAATTAGCATGATTGTGGTATTCCTTCCACTATGTGTATGTATGTATATCAAATTATCACGTTGTACATCTTCCATTTATACAATTTTTATGTGTCAGTTCTACCTCAATAAAGCTGAAAAAACGTGTAACATTTATCTCCCCCAGTTCTGGCAGCATGAATCCCATGTAGAGTCACCATATAAAGTTGTGAAGCTTGTTTACTAAAAAGATACATGGCCAAGAGTGTGAATAGGAGCTGAAATTAGCCTATACTCTGCTCTCTAAATTGTGTGTCCTAGCTTTGTACTATTCCATCCCAGAGGAAAGAGCACCATTTTACCATTTTGTAACTCACCTACCCAGAGGAGACATCTTAGTATGATTTGTCTTCTTGGAGAGGGCACCTTTTAGTACTTTTTATAAAGATTACATATGTTTTAGTGGAGACCCTAGTACAGTGGATACTACTTTCCCATCCTAGAATTTGGACCATCTCACAAACTTTACTCTAGCTTGGACTGATAACCAATTATAAAATACCCCCCATAATTCCCCTAAAGATATGTTGACTGTAACTCTGTTATATAATTTTGATATCAGAATTCTTTAGTTGCAGGCAACATAAATTGATTTAGCATAACTTAAGCAAAAAATAGGGATATTTGGAAGGATTTTGGAGTTACTCAAATCCTAACTGAAATGCTGAAAAGCAAGTCCTCAAGAAGGTCAGGAGCCAACTGAGCTTGAGGTATTTTGGTAGCAGAAACTCATAGCCTGTATTCTCATATTAGGTTGAAAAATTCAAGGATAGAAAATCTGAATATTCCACTAAGTGGGATGGAATTTCTCATCAGAACAAAGGTCAGTGAAAGAATGCTGGACAAACCAAATAATAGCTGCTAAATGAAGCAAAAAAAAAAAAGTATCAACATCCAAGTTAGATAAATAGGTCTAGATCTCAGAGAAGAGGGTTAACTGGAATAAACAATTAGGAGTCATAAGAATAACTGAAATTAGGGATATAGTTTATTTAGATTGACCAGAAAGAGAGTGGGAGGCCACGCACCTGTCCAGTTCTCCAGCTCTGTTGCCCAAGGGCAGGAGCTCTTACTGGAGTAAGTCACAACTGGAGATTTTTCCTGTTTTAGGGAGGACAGTGATATTTCTATAGATTAGAAACAACTCCAGGATGTGGTAATATAATACCGTGCTGGGAACATTCCATTTCCTAAGAATGAAATTGTAGTGTGGATATTTTAATAGAATGTGACATCTTTCTGCTGGTGTTATAATAAATGCTATTTTATTTTTTCTCTAACAGTTATTTATATTGCACCTAGCTTTGTGATAAGTGTTTTATGAATGTCATTGTGTTTAATCTTTACAACAAATTAATGAGATAGGTATTATTATCAACCATATTTTATAGTTGAGTTTACTGAAGCCTCAGAGTTTAAGTAATTTACTCAAGGACATGTTGCTAGAAAGAAATGGGACGTATGTAAGGTCTATGTGAATTAAAAGACATTTCTACTTCATATAAAATGATACAGCAACAAAAACATTAGCTATAGTTTAGAATTATTGAGCCCCTACTGTGTACTATGTAGTGTGCTGAATATTTTATATGCATTATCTCATTTAATCCTTATAATAACCTCATAAGGATATCTCTATTGTTATTCCTGCTTAGTATATGAAGAATCTAAGGGTTGGAAATGTTAAAGTCATGGTTGTCACACAGTCAGTAAGTAGAGTCAGGGTTTGAACAGATTTGTTTGATCCTAAAGCCTACATGCTTCATGAATACACTATTTCCTCTATCAAAAATAACCAAATCTTATAGCAGTGGCTCTCTTCCCTAGCTTTGTACTAGAATCACCTGGGGAGCTTTTTAAAAAATCAGTCTGAGTCTCCTCATCAAAGTTTTTGCTTTCTCAGGAATAAGAATGCAGATAAGTCAGGAATTTTTTTAAAGCTTCTATTTGCATTGTTTATTTAATAAATATTTAATGTCTAATCTGTGCCAAGCACTTTCTAGGCATTTACATTCTAGCAAGATGTATCAGTTAGCTATTGCCAGTGATGCCTAATAACAATCACAAAATTTCCATGGCATGAAAAATCAAGCACTTATTAAGCATTCATTCTCATAGATCTAGAGACTAACTGGGACTCAATGATTAGAGTATTCTGTTGTGCAACTATATTCAGGCTGGAATGGTTCTACTTTTCTTGCTGCAGGACTGTGGATGGCTCTCTCCATGTATTTCTCATCCTTGTTGGACCAATGGACTAGCTAGGGCTTGTTTCTCTGTGACTCCTCTCCTAAAAGTGACAGAATCACAAGAGGTGACATGTTCAACTCTGAGTATACTCCGTTAGTCAAAGCAAGTCTCACAACTGAACTCAAAAACAAGAGGTGAGAAAATAAGCTCTACACTTTTGTGTGTGAAATTGCGAATTTCATGGCAAAGACTGAGAGTTTGAGTCAATAATTCAGTTTAGGTGGGAAAGACTGACAAGGAATAAGCATAATTCATAAGTCAATTATCAAGTATATTAGAAAGCGATAAGTAATATCTCAAGGAAGATAAAAAGTTCTGGAGGATGATGTGAAGACAATCTAATGTGCACCTAGGGTTGAGAACCACTGATCTTACAATGTTAAACTTGGAAAGAAATCTGGTCTACCATTCCCTGAACCATTTTAAAGACACGTGCTACCACGCCTGGCTTATTTTTTGATTTATTATAGAGACGAGGTCTTACCAAGTTGCCCAGGCTGGTCTCGAACCCCTGAGCTCAGGCAATCATCTCACCTCGGCTTCTCAAAGTGCTGGGATTACAGGCTTGAGCCTCCATGCCCAGCAGAATTCTCCCTTTATTGATAGCACCATAAATTGCTGTGGAAGGACATAGTCATTCTTACTTTTCTTGACCCCCAAGCATTAGCGGTATCCTACCTAAATCCTATGCATCCCTTAGTAACACAAATAAGAGCCCAATTTGACATTCCCCATATTTGTACCCTTCAAAACTTTTTAGATGTTCTATACTCTTTTAGTTTTTTTTTTTTTTGTCTTCAAGTTGAAGACTGAGTTTTGGTCTGTCTTCATATGATTCTTCCCAGTCCCATCCTAGCTATCTACTTGGTTATTGGGCCTTCTCTCTTCCCCAACTCTGTAATGCTTTGAGTGAGGAGTCTTTCTTGTGCTATTTTTTTATTCTGAGCTTCCACTAGGTCTTGTAGTCATCATTTCTGTTATAGATTACAGTCTTCTTGATTTTCCAGGATGAACAGTCAGAAGAAAAGAAAAGATATGGAACCTGCTTGTACCTGGAGTTTATTGTCTAAAGAGAAAGGTAAGTAACTGAATGAAGCAAGAGAGGGTGTATTCTAGATAAACCTGTTTATTCTCTTTCTTCTACTTCTTCTCCTCATAGCCTTTGGGATTCTTCTCAATCTTTAAAATTAATTGGATGTGTATATGTGTGTATATATTAGTATATTACATAAATACGGTATTTACTCATTAATCACTTGAAACTGTCTCCACAATTTTTTGCATTGCCCAAAATGAGGAATAATAATACAGAAAGGAAAAGAGGTAACTGTGGTTTCTGTTGTTTTCCATAATTCCCCAAACATTTATAATCATAAAATACTCTATGTTTCTCCTTTTGATGTAACCACAGCGTTTCATAAAAGCACAAAAGAGCAAAGAGTGAAAATCACTGGAGTCCTTTCCCTTGTGGTTGATACCTAAACTCCAAGGAATGTTTAGTTGTGGATAATGGAAACCGGTTATCCTCAATAGACCACTTACTTGCCTGTCCATTTCTGTGACATTCTAATGTCCGTCTTTCCAGATCCTGCTTCCTCCCATTCACCTGTTAGCACCTCCTATCTAGTCACACCTTTTCCCCAACCATAGGCCTCACTTTTGTTGTTAAAGGTGTGCACATAGTAAAAAAAAAAACAAAAACAAAAAACATAGCAATGTGAAGTTGTGTGAGCTTGTGTATTTTTATTTATATAACCTATATGTGCAAGAATCTGGATTGAGTGTGTGTGTATGCATTTGAATGTAGGTCATTGCATGTATCTGTCAAAGTAATATTCAGCAATGCCTTATTCTTCTTATTCTTTTCCATTAATAAGTAAGGCTCAAGAGAAACCTCAGCAGAAGCAGTAGGCTAATATTCAATGGAAGGCAAAATACCAGAAAGCTGTCACTTCAAATAATGTGTGCATCTTCTTTTAAAATTTTTTTCCTAGCTCTCAGAACCCGTGAATTTTATTTTTTTCTAACCCTCAGAACTTGTGAAAAATGTATGCATCTTTAAGTTCATGCCCCAAATTTTTCTTACTGATGATATAAATTAAAATGTCCACACCCTAAATATATGTGTAAGAGAAGTTATTTTACTTTATGTTGTAAAATACCTTTGTGGGTAAGTTGGAAAGGGTGTGAGACTACTTACTTTTTTTTTTTTTGAGTTTGAGTTTCACTCGGTCGCCCAGACTGGAGTGCGTGGCTGCTCCCGGCCACCACAGCCTCGCCCTGCTGGGCTCCGGCGATCCTTCCGCCTCAGCCTTCCAAGTAGCTGGAACTACAGGCGCGCACTAGCACGCCCGGCTGATTTTTTTATTTATTGTAGAGATGAGGTCTCGCTGCCCAGGCGGCTCTCGGACCGCGAACTCAGGCAATCCACTCACCTCAGCCTCCCAAAGGCACAGGATTACAGGCTGAGCCACCGAGCCCGGCTGATTACTTACTTTTTAAATTGTGTTTCTGTTTTGGGAACAGCATGAATGGCTAAATTTCTGTAATTTCAGGTTTTGGTATAAAGTTGTGTTTGTGCTACTCCTAACCCCAACTCTTCCCTTTCACAGTTGCTCCAAGTTCTCTGGCTTCATTTTCATGGAAGGAGCTTACAGGTAGATGTCTTTTCTATTTTACTGTCTTTTTCTGTTTTGGGAGTAGTGTCTCCCATGAACCCAGCTACTCACCCCCTATTCACTTGGGCAACAATCACTCATTTTTTCCCCCAATATCTATGAAGCCCCAAACTGTCATGAGATATAGGACTTCTATGAGGAGGACCCCCCCAAAAGCCAGAATTTATTTATAAATAATTGTGTATTTATTCTTACATGCTTAAACTTTAGTCACCTTCAAAGTACTCTCCATTTGATGCAATATACCTATCAAGATGCTTTTTCCACTGCTCAAAACTGTTTTTGAACTTGTGAATTTTGATACATTCTAGTGCTTCTGCCATTTTTTGTTTCACCTATTCCACATTGGCAAACGTTTCGCCCTGAGTGTGGGCTGAGATCCACTTTATTGGGAGGGTGAGGCACGGGGGTCATGACATTTTTGGTAAAAAACTGCTGAACATTCAGCACGGTGTAGGCAGGTGCATTGTCATGGTGGAAGAACTAATTATCTGTTTGCCACAACTTGTGATGTTTCTTCCACAAATTGTGGCACAACCTTCTCAAAACTTCCAGATAAAAACTTTGGTTGACGGTTTGATCCTGAAAAACAAATTCCAAGTGTACTACAAGGGACCTGCCCTCCAAAAAGATAATTCTGGGGGTTTGGGGTCCTCCCTGTTCATATTATATGTAATATATTCAAATAGTTATTCAAATACTGGGAAGACCACTAATGGTGGTGGTCAAGAGCCAGATGTAGAAAGTTGGGGGTTTTTTTTTGAGTTGTAGTCTCACTCTGTTTCCCAGGCTGGAGTGTAGTGGCACACTCACAGCCACCACAGCCTCGACCTGCTGGGCTCAGGTGATCCTTCTGCCTCAGCCTTCCAAGTAGCTGGAACTACAGGTGCGTGCCACCATGCCCAGCTAATTTTTTGAGACAAAGTCTTGCCATGTTGCCCAGGCTGGTCCTGAACCCCTGGGCTCAGGCAGTCCTCTCTCCTCCACCTCCCAAAGTGCTGGCATTACAGGCATGAGCTACCATGCCCAGCCTCAGGTGCAGAAACTTTTATGCCTACAAAAGACCAGTCCTCTTGAACTATCTAGGTCAGTGCCAGCAAAACTTTAGTTAGTGGTCAAATCCAGCCAGTTGTCTATTTTTGTAAATAAAGCTTTATTGGAACATAGCTATTCATTTACATATTGTCTATGGCTACTTTCACACGTAGATGGCAGAGTTGAGTAAGTGCCACAGAGACTGAAAAACCTAAGTTTTACGAAAGATGTTTGCTAGTCCTTATCTAGATCAGCATTCTCCAAACTGAGTTCTACAAGCAATTTTCCAGGAATTATTAATTTGGCTGTTAGAAAAGGGTTCCATAGTCATTTAAAAACTAGAAAATGTTGCATTACACAAAGCTAAACAGCCTTTTTTTTTTAACTGTAGGAGAGTTTTAAAAACCTTTCCAATGCTAATTTAGGGCCCTTTCATATGTTAATATGCATTTAGAAACTAAGAGACTAGAAGACCTTTTTCATAGCTCTCCTATTATTATCTTACAGAATAGTGCTCTAAGGAACACTGATTTGGAAAATGCTGGCTTAGACATTCATTTAACAGATGTTTGAACTTGATGACTGACTCCTTGGGTTATATTTTCTGGTTATAGAACGTGAAAAACTACTTAGTATAGTGTTTAAGCATAAAAATCTCAGACAAACTTGAATCTAAATTAAGGCTCTACTGCTTATTAGCATTGGACAAGTTGCCTAATTCTATAAGCAGCACTGGCTACATAATTGCAGTGTGCCCTGCAAGATGGACATGTAAGACCCCTTGTTCAAATATTAAGAATTTCAAGCAATAGCAGTAGCAGAGCATTATACATAGGTCCTAAGGAAACCTGTGTGACTGCACAAATTGCGCACTCACTCCCTGGTTATAAGTTTCAATTTCCTCAACTATCAAATGTTGATAATACCTACTTCAAGAGATTATTGTGATAAGTAAACCAGAAATATATGTAAAGAGTCTAGTTCAGTATTTGGAATAGAAGAGGCATTAATAAGGGGCTTGTTTTTTAACTCAAAAGCATTTATAGCCATATTCAATAAATACTGAGCGTCTACTATTTGCTGGGCACGGTGCTAGGTGCTCAGGGTACTATGGTGAAGAAGATAGATAAGGCCCCTGTCTTTATGTAGATTATTGAATAGTAGAAAAGACAAACTGTGAATAAGTAAACAAATAAACAAGACAGTTATAAAATTGTGATAAGTTCTATTAAGGGAAAAAAAGGGTGCTGGAAAAGAGAATAATTGAGAAGATTTGCTTTAAATTGGGTGGTCAGGCAAATCCTGTTCTAGGAAGTAATATTTAAGTTGAGCTGAAAGGATAAGGAGCTCTCCACGGGAAAAGCAGAAGGAAGAGTGTACCAGGCAGTGAGAATAATTACTGAAAAAGCCTTTAAGTAGGAGAGAGCATGGCATTTTTTGACAACCTGAAAATAGCCCAGTGTGGCATTAGTGTAGGGAGTGAGAAGGAGAATGATAGAAAATGAGGCTGGGGAGGGAAGGTAGGTAGTGCCCAGATCAAGGAACACCTTGTGGGATGAGGTAAAGATTTTAGATTTTATACCAAGTGCAATGAAAAGCTCTTGAAGGATTTGGGGTAGGGCAGTGACATGATCTAACTGATATTTGTGGAAGATTGCTTTGGCTGCTATAGGAGAGGAGCTAGTAGATAGGGAAGGGTAGTAGATAAGTAGGAGGCTATTTCAGCTGTCCAGGAAAGAACTGATAGTGCCTTGGACTTGGGTGGTATTTGAGGATATAGTGATAAATGAATCTGAGGCTTATTTTGGAGGTATAAATAATAGGCCTTGCTGTTGATTGGATATAGAGGATTGAAGGAATAAACAAAATAATTATCCTTATATTTTTCTGAGCAGTTGGACAGCAGCATTTAACTGAGATGAGTTGCCTGGGGAGGGTTGTTTTGGGAGGCTGAAGAGTTTAGAAATCAAGAGTTCGAGTTTAGACATGCAAAGTCTAAAGGAGGAGGCTTTACAACATCTAAGTGGAAATGATGATGATGCTGGTATTAGAGTTGTTGTTTGTATTGTTGTCTAGGATTCTGTGATTACTAATTTGCTGTCACTACATTAGATTACCGGGAAGTATTCAGAAAACATCTAAAAGAAAAATACCTAAAGATAGGAGTTGATAAATGTTATTACCATGGCAAACATATAGAATCACGGCTGCTTCTTATAGAAGAACATGGTATATCAGAAAAGACACCATGTGGAATTCCGCAACAAGATCATTTTATTGAGATGGAACATGTATTTGATCCTGATGAAGAGGGCTCCAGCTCATCTCGAACTGTAGTGCTTCAGGGATGTGCTGGGATTGGGAA